GCACTGAGGTGGGCCTCGATTTCCTCGCGCAGCTGCTGCTGCACCTTCTCATCTCTGCCCAGCAGCAAAAGCATATGACTGAGTACTGAGGCCGTCGTCTCGAAGCCGTCCAGCAGGAAGGTCATGGTGTGTGCGGTCAGTTGGCGAGTATCCAGGTTCTTCTTGCTGCCCAGCTGGAGAATGTAGTCCAGGAAGTCAACGCGATCGAATTGCTTTCCTGCAGCCAGTTGTTGACGCCGTGCATCGATGGCCGTTTGCATCAGATTCACAAAAAAGATTTCAATACGCAACGGCACAAAGCGCAGCTTAAACACGTGTCGCAGCGCAGGCAAAGTGCTGACAATTATAAAGTACAGGATAAAAGCCCAGGACTGCTTGAAGAGCTCCTCGATGTAGCCCATGATTGGTGTGGGCTTGTCTGAGAAGCTCTCGGCCTTCAGGCCCAACACGCAATCGGTGACCATTTCGGTTGTGAAGCGTAAACTCATCTAAAGGAGATAATGATAATGTATATTATATATACTCATATATTAAAAAAAAAAAAAACATTTACAGCTTTGGCATCGATGCCTTCACTTGGAGGTGAACGTATTTGCTTGCGTAGCCATTCGGTCATCTTAAGGCATACCTCATTGGTCACCGGATAGACGGTCTTGATCTGGAGAAGCAAATGAGTGGAATTTTTGTAATATTCCTTGATTTTCTCAAATAAAAACTTACGCGACTCATGGTTAGTCCGGGAGTAACGTCTGCACGTCGGTGCTTCCACTCGTCTCCGACCAGGGAGAACGGATTGTTGGCAAAGATGAAATCGGATTTATCATCAATCATACGAGAGACTTCATTATCATGAAAGTACCTGAAGTCAGAGACGAAGACGCGTCTAGCCAGCTGCGGACTTATAACCAGCAATTGTGGAGTTCGAGCTCCATAAATGCCAACTGCATCGAACTGATGCTTGTATTCTCTACAATTGAAGCATAGCGTATATATAATCAATTCTAATTTAAATATACATTTTCATTATTTACCTATAGATATCATTGAGATCGTAGATTGCGTGACGCTTCATGTTGTACATGTGCGGATAGTTGCCTGTGAGAATGCGTGGGGCAGGACCAGGGACTTTTCGCTTGCGCCAGTAGCCGAAATTCCATGTCATGAATACATAGAAGAGGCCCGCAAGTAGGAGCAGCAATGCCAGCGTAACTTCCAGCATGATTATTTGTTTGACGATCTGACTCGAGTAACTGATCCCAATTGACTGTGGCTCAACGAGTTTTAAATGACTTGTTGAGGCAGACAGTCATAGAGCTTTCGGAGAATCTATGTTTGTCTCTCTTCTGATTAGTGCTCACTCATACTATATCCAAAAATACATTCAATTTGAAAATATACTAAGCATATACACAGAGATAAAGCTTATCAGCGCCCATTTCAACTTGCTCTCTATCTCTGAGAGCAATTGAACTTTCGGACCACCCATAAAGCAATTTATTTACCTGCACCCATTGTGCATGATGCAATATTAAAAATTTAATCAAAATTTGTATCTTGTATATACGGTCTCCAATTGACTTAATAGTATGAGTTCATAGTAATTTAGTTAGGATAGTTTTAGTTCTATCAATGCTCGATTTGAGAGCTAATTTTTAAATTTTTCTAAATACAGGGAATCACCTAGTCGGGCATTGGCGGTTAGACGCTTCCATATTGTTATTCGTAGCGCAATGTTAATTAAATAAAAGCACTCGAGGGGCCTACAGTCAACAATAAATAAATAAATATAACCTTGAACTTGATGACGTTGCAGATACTCTATAAATATGATATTCATAGAATTTTTCAACATTTATATACTAAATATAAACTCCCACATACTCTCATACATGTTTTTAATTAAACAATTTTACGCAATTCTCGATTACTTTTAGTGAACTCAGTCGTTCAGTGCTTCACGTTTTTTAATATATTCAAAACAACGCCTAATTGACGCTTGGGGGAGTGAGTGTTGTACGAGAGGGGAAAAGGGAGGACGTAGTAAACAAATGGGTGTGGAGTGGACGGCACAACAATAATCGTGCTTGACAGGCTCTCAGGTATATGGATACGAATACGGAATATAAATAAATGAAAAATAACGACGCATAACTGAAAGTGTAATTGAGCAGAAAATAAAGTAATAAATTATATACAAATAATTTATTACAACGAATTAAATACAAATAAAGACAATAATCAAATGGAAAAAGTGTTATCAAATAATAATTGAATTAAAGAAATATTAAGAAACAAATATAAATGAAAAACCAAATACAATAAATAATTAGAAAAAGAAAAAANAAGGCACGAACATATTTCAGAGCTGCGCAAGCGAACTTTCGTTATCGGATTTTAAAAGAACTAGTTCGATTTTTATACCCTGAACCCATTGAAAATGGGAAATCAGGGTATAATGGTTTTGTGAAAAGTATGTAACAGGCAGAAGGAATCATCGCAGACCCCATAAAGTATATATATTCTTGATCAGCACGACGAGCTGAGTCGATATAGCCCTGTCCGTCTGTCCGTCCGTCCGTCCGTCCGTCCGTCCGTCCGTCCGTCCGTCCGTCCGTCCGTATGAGCAAAAGAATCTCAGAAGATATAAGAGCTAGAGAGCTGAAACTTGGCATGCATACTCGTGTATACCATAGGCAGTACAAGTTTATCATATTTTTTTGATAACTCATCCGATAACTTTTTTATCGAGAATAATCGAAAGATCGACTTGGTTTTTTCAGCCTAATTTCAACACTTTTAGACCTGTGTATCTCCTAGTCGAGCAGTCTCGACTGGAGCCTTCTTACTTGTTTCATATCAAGCAACAAACAGCTGTAATAAGAATTCTATATCAATTTATTGCTTTACTTATTTCACAAGTAACGTCTATAATATAGTAATTGCATGGCCGATATCTCAGTTCAATATAGGCGTAAACAATTTGCTTGGCTTACTCAACCAAAACGGAACACTTGTAATTGGGCCTAGATATAAAAGTGACTAAAGATTGCTTTTCTAGGAATTTGTGTTGTTGATGGTCAATGGCCTTTCATTCTGCACAGTGTCCATTATTTACAGCCATTTATTGAAATTATTATGCGACAAAGTATCTGTGCCACGTCAGGCTCTCAATAGCAACCGGCTGGATATTTATGGGCATTGCAGCAGCAGCAGCCGCAGTCGCAGCATTGGCCATCGACTGGCTTCTGGTTTCTTCCAGCCGCACAATGCACTTCTTGGCCGGCACATTTGTCATGTGTTGTGGCCGGGCTTATTAAACGGCTTTTAAGCGCCAGGAACCATGCACAATGAACATATTCTATAGACGGCAGATTTATGCCCCGAGTGGCCGAGGCGTTGCGACTCCAAATTATGCGCCATTTCAAGTTGTGCATTGGCATTTAAAATGTGAACTAGAAGTTTTATTACTGTGCTATATTTCGAATAATTCTGTGGTTGTTTGTATATCGTTTTGTTGGAATAAAAATATATACATATACAAAATACCAAAAAAACTAAATAAAAAATTAAAAAAAATAGTGCTCCAATTGAACGAATTCAGGAGAAATTTATTACTGCAGATGAATGATTTTGAATATAAATTATCTTTAATACTTAAGACTCTATTCAGAAATATTTGTATACGGGGATAGTTTATGCAATTAGTTTATATTTAACATAAAATCAAGGTTCTATCAAAGAAAATCAAAACGGATAGTTCCTGTCCTAGACCTAGATCGTTTTCTACAGTTTCAAAAATAAAATAGAAGCTTAAATAGGTTCCAAAGTGTTTCGCATGATCATAATCAAAATAA